TTTATTTTGGTCTCCAAGCATGGCAGCATGGCTTCTCTAAGTATACACTAGAATGTCCAGGAAGGTAGATTTTCAGGCAGTGGAAGAAAATAGAGTTCAACATGGCTTTGGACCTCTTCAGGTTGTCTCTGTTATGTCTCTTTCAGCCTTTTATTTGCTTCTTCAACCATCTACTTCCTTCCAGCTCTGTTCTATAATAAAGAACTAGTTATAATAATATAATAAAGAACTAGTATAATAAAGTCCAATTTATTGTATGTGTTAACCAAATTATTCCTATCATTATAAAATTACCTAAGGCTGTAGAAATAAACTCTCCACAAAACCAAAGATTATGTTCATATCCATCTATCTAAAACATGCCATAAATTAAATGAATTTAAGGATATTTAAGTCAGCTAACCCAAGGAGAGAATAACTACACCTAAAGACACCTGATAGCCCCAAGATATTTTTTACCAGACAGCTTGATTAAAAGACAGATTATATCATATATTCTTACATCTCCATATTCTACCATAGCATCTCAAGATTTCACCATGATGAAATACTCCATCCTTCCTCTGAATCCCTTATACCTCTTCATGTTCCTGATGTACACAGCATCCTCTCATATGGAAAAAAAAAAAAAAATCTCCGACAAACTATTCAGAATTTTCAGCCAAAGACCAAATTGTTCTAAAAGTTTAGTCACATTCAAAATTCACCTCCTGGACTGTTCCCTCCTATATAACTCATTTCCATTTTCTTGTGACTATGTATTCTCATCCAGAGATCCATTTTAATAACTGATTGCATGCATTCAGGGCTTAGTAGCTGTATATAACTCATGCTGTATCTGCTGCAAAGCTAAGTTAACAGAGCTCAGAGTCACACTCCCTAAGGTGGTGACCTGTCCACCACATTGCTGTCTCAGAGCTTCTAGCATTCTCCAAGGCAGGTTTTGCTAAGTGTTCACAGAATAGTGGTCAGGATTCAGACCTCTGCTTCCTGCACTCCTTATTAAAAGAAGCAAACTGATGGGCCAGTTCTAACTCAAGGATGGAAGAAGGCACATCATAACTGAAGCAAATTCCAGCCAATGAGTAGAGATAAGACTTTATATCTGGCTGTATGGTAAAACATGACTTTGAAAGTGCTCTACTAGAACACCTACTTAGGGTCTGGGGTTGTGGCTCAGTGGCACATTCAAGGCCCAGGGTTCGATCCTCAGCACCACATAAAAATAAATAAATAAATAAATAAAAGGTACTGTGTCCAACTACAATTTAAAAAAATAAATATTTAAAACACCTAGCCAATGTTAGCTTAAGCATAGCACACATTTGTTTAAAGGCATAATGGAGCTAACAAGAAATTCAGAATGTTGCCAGGGGACAGAAATGAAAAAGGAAATGAAACCCAAACAGTAAAGGAATGAACCACTGGTGCAACTGAATTTCAGGTCCCTGTTTCAGTGCTCACTGCTACAAACTAAAGATTTGTGTCCCTCCAATTTGATATATGTTGGTAAAGTCATGTGAAGTCCTGACCCTCAAGGTGTTAGGAGATGGGGCCTTTGAGAAGTGATGAGGTTTTGAGGGTGGAACCCTCACAAATGGGATTAGTGCCCATGTAAAAGAGGTCAGAGAGGTCCTTTACCCTTTCCACAGTGTGAGAAAGCAAGAAAAGAGCCATCCATGAACCAGGAAGTGGGCCCCTACTTACACTTCCCATCCTCCAGAACTGGAAATAAATTTCAGTTTTTGCAAGTGCCTTGGCCTATGGTATTCTATTTATATTCTGTTTATCAACCCAAACAGACCAAGACACATGCCCCAGAACAAGAGTTAGTCTTATACCTTTGCCTAGGAGAAACATCCATTCAAGATAGTCTGGTTTGTTTGCTTCCCAATAGCCATGGCCTACATATGTATTTTAAGCTGTCCATGTCACTCTATGGGTAGTTTTGCCCTGCCTTTGTGGAGAACAGCTTCCTTCCTGAAAGGTGAGGCTTGGCATGTTTGCATAGACTTCACCAGCTCATCAGTTTAACTGATGCCCTCAATTTTGTCTGTAAAGTTGCTAAGCTGGCACACCCACCACTCTAGCCATTCAAGATGTATGCTTAACCAGGAGGGGTCAATTGTGTGTGTTCCTAAATCTCATAATTCCAGTTATACTTATTTTTTGTGATTTCATAATTGTCTTTRTATTAAGGAAATAAATGGGTATGCAAATGTTGTTTCTATGAAACACAAGTTCGGTATTTGGATAGAATGAAAAATCGTGTCTTGAGTAAGTGTGGGTAAAGCAACTCTTCAAAGATTGAGCTTGATGGGGAAGGACTTTAAAATCTAATATCCTAATACTATTGCATTGGGTATTAGATGTCAATCTAAGAATTTTGGAGGGACCCCAACGTTCAGACCATAGCTGCCAGTCACTAAGTTACAGAGAGTATCAGTTGATCTGGTGGATTGCTTGGTTCCCTGTTATAGTAGAGAAAGAATTTAAAGACACTTGCAAAGCAAACTGAGTATAATACAGAATCCCACAGGCACCAGCTTGTGAAATATCAGGTCTCTGAAGTGCTCTTCAGAGTCCCATGCTGTTCTCTCTAGAGGATTAGCTGAGATGACTGAACTAACAGAACAAAATAAAAGTACTGCAACATAATAGTGGAGTATAGAGGCTTTGGGCAAGACAAACCCAGTGTGAATTTCATATCTGTAGTTTGATATGTATTAGTTAAGTCATGTGACTTAACTATCTCTGATCCCATTTCCTCATTTGAAAATCGGGACAATAATAATACTACATTTCTCCTGAAATTTTTGTGAGAATTATGAAGATCATATTTGGGGAGCACTTGGCACCATGCTAGATACAACAGTAAAATATCCCATTGTTTTCCCTGTTTTTATGGGCGTGTGTGTGTGTGTGTGTGTGTGTGTGTGTGGTGCTGGGAATTGAACCCATGGCCTTGTGCATGCAAGGCAATCACTCTACCAACTGAGCTATATCCCCAGCCCTTTATGGGCTTTTTTTTTAAATTGATTTTTTTTTAATGTGGTGCTGAGGCTCAAACCCAGGGCCTTGCACATGCTAGGCAAGTGCTTTGTCACTGACAACCCCAGCCCTATGGTTTTGGTTTTTTTGGGTTTTTTTTGTTTRTTTTTTTTTTAATTCTGATGTCTCCCTCTACCCCCAGTACTAAAATTGAACCCAGAGGCACATTACCCAGTATTTTTTTTTTTAATCTTCAGACAAGTGTCTCACTAAGTTGTTAAGACTGGTCTTGATCTTGTGATCCTCCTACCTCAGCCTCCCAATTTGCTAGGATCATCTGCATGTGCCATTGTGCTTGCCTCACTGTGCTTTTTTTAAGACTTGTGTAGGGGATGGGGATGTAGCTCAGTGGTCGAGCACATGCAAAATTCTGGGTTCCATCCCCAGCACCCAAAAAACAACTGTCTAGATGTCTTATAGAACCCAATTCTATAATTCTTCATGAATTTGATTACGTAAGTGGTGTGCAAGCTGCCTGTATTTGTTTTCTAGGGCTGCCACAAGAAAATAGCAGACTTAATAGCTTAAAGAACAGAAATATATTCTCTCAGTTTTGTAGGCTGGAAGTCCAAGATCAAGGTGTCAACTTGATTTCTCCCAGGCCTCCCTCCTTGGCTTGCCTACTTGCTGGGTTCTGAGGTGGTCATTTCTCAGAGCACATGTATACCCCTGATGTCTCTTTGTCCAAATTTCTTTTTATGGACACCAGTCAAATTGGATTAGGGCCCACCTTAACTACCTTGTTTTATTTACCCTTTAAAGTCCCTGTCACCAAATATAGTCAAACTCTGAGATACTAAAGGTTGAGCTTCAAAGTATAAATTTGAGGGGGACACAATCCAGCCCAAAGTATTTTTCATCACATTTGGAAATAATTATCTTCAGGAATAATGACAGGAATACAAAGTAGGACTGAAGAATTTTTAGGTGTTTTCTAATGCTATGATTCTGTAGGACTCTCTGTATTTGACCTATACAGCAAGTGCATTGATTGTGCATAGAAAATATTTAAGAACTCGGGGCTTTATGAATTTACTTTATGAATTTACATCTAGCATAAAATGAAATATGGTTCCTGATAATAGGCCACAAATATTTTAGAATATATTAGTGTTGAAAAATACCTGCTTCTGATGAGCTAGGAGTTAGGAGAGAATATACTTGTGGACCATAGGTGTATACAAAGTCAAGTAAAATATATGGTAACCATGTACCTGTTAAGGTAAAGCATTAGGACAAGGATTATGGGGAAACCTAGAGAAGTCCCTGACCACTCTCAAGGACCTATTTGACCTGTTTGGGAAAACACCAAAAATATTACAAAGTGAGCTTATTTTATTGCCAGTTAAAGGCTCAGTGTAGACAAGGAGGGCGGTGTGTGCGGAAGAGGACACAATCATCTCTGAAGCCTGGAGTAAAGATTTTTGATCTCTTCACGATTAGCAACCATAATATTAGGAGAAAGGAAGAGGGCATCATCAAGAAAACAGACCTAGAAATGGCTACCTGCAGATTTAGGACAGACAGGAGAGAGGCCCATAAGGAAGTGGTGTGAACCATGCTCTGAGAAGCATCTCATCAAGAATAGCTTCAGAGAGTCTCATCTACCCCTGGGGTGAGAACAGGACCAGGATGTGTTCTGCCCTGTCACAAAGTGAACACCAACATCACAACCTGAGTTGCTGGTGGGAGGGTTCTTGTTGCAGTGACTGCCAGTAGAATACTCATGACATGAAACACCCAAGTCAGGATCACCAGCTGCTTGTGAGTGATCCTTACCATAAGTGAAAGTAAGGGTCACTTCACTGGCCAGAGGAAAGACATCACAGTTCTTTCCTCCTTTTCCCACTCACAGAGAATATTTTGCTTCCTACTGAACAATGATAATGGCAAATATGATTGAAATGTAATCTGAGATATTTCCTTAAGATCTATCTTTTTTCTTCTAGGCCTCTTTTTCGTGGGAGTTCTGATGTCGATCAACTAGGAAAAATCTTGGAGTAAGTAATCACTGTAATCAGTGTCTATATAGCATGGAAACATTTACAATGACTTTTTCTGACTTTCATGTAATATGTTTATCTCTTGTCTTTCTTACCCCCAAGCTGCTGCTGCAGACAGTATTATTTGTGTGGTGAGTGGGGACAGGGTATAAGTACTGTCTTATGAGTCCACCATGATGTGTAGTCTGACTGCTGTGCTTTGGAGGCTTGTGTGCTGCTTGTGTGGATCTTTTTGCTGCCCCTCTTTCTTTGCTTGGCTAAGCCTCACCTCTTTGGAGCAGATGTGTTGTCTGCTCCTGGTCATTTCAAACATTCCCAACAGAGGTAAGGCACTTGGTGGCTTAATAACCCATCCTTTTCCAGAGGGCTTCCTGTCCATATCAACTATCCTTGGTCATCCAGGTTGTTTTGCATTGTTTTTTGTTTGTTGTTTGTTTGTTTTGATTTGATTTCCGGGGCTATGACTGGGATGCTACACCATCCTGTTTTCTTTGGAGCACCAAATAAGAAATGAGAATCCTAGATTCTCATTCTAGATCTGTGGCTAACTAACTGCAACCTTGAGAAAGTCATTTAAAACACCCTTTAAAAGGCTTACAAAGTGTTTGGCACGTAGTAAGTGCTTTAACAGTGTTAATGATTGTTGTTGGTATTATAATTCATCACTAATTATTCAATCTTTTTGTTTCTTAACTTCATTTGAGAAATGAAACTTTAACTTGAGTTCTCCATATGATCCTTTCTTGGTCTCAAAATTCTGGGTTCCAGTTGTTTGTTACATTGCTCCTTGATGGTTTGCAGAGCTCCGTTCACGACTGCATGTTGGTGCCTGTGAGGGTCTGTCTGCTTTAATGTTCATAGAGTGTAACCAGGACATTTCTTCTCACAGCGTGCAGCATGGCATCTTTTTGGGGTTTGTGCATTTACTAAACCCCATCAGCATTGGGGTGGAGTAAAGAGAAAGTGACTAAAAATAGCAGTGATCATTGCTCTGTGACATTTTCTAGGAATCCTGGTAAATTTTATGAAATCTGAAGTCTGTAAGACTGCGGAAAAGAACAGAAGTTTATGTTAGCACTATCTATTCAAGCATAACTGCTTAAAAGAATTGGAATAAAAATGAAACCAGACTTTGTTCTGGTGACTGGAAGCACCTCTGATAGCCCTTCTCTGGTGCCAATGCTACCCTGAGTCAGAACCCAATGACTTTAAGACCTAAAAAACATTTGCAAGTTTTGTCTGGTTTTTGGTTCTTGGTTTTATCCGGGGGCTTCCCAGGTCTGGGGCTGCTGCCACTCTTTGAGATGGATAAATTCAGCCTTCAAGTTGCCCTCCTTCTAGATATCAGGTCCATTGATCATTTAGTGGTGAACTTGCATCTGTTCTGCCCATGGTCACTGGACACAGTTTGTGTGCATGTGACCCTAAAGAGGGAAATATGAATCCCAGCTGCTCAGGAGGCTGAGGCAGGAGGATCATGAGATCAAAGCCAGCCTCAGCCAAAAGCAAGGCACTAAGCAACTCAGTGAGACCATGTCTCTAAATAAAAGACAAAATAGGGCTGGGGGGTGTGACTTGGTGGTCGAATGCCCCTGAGTTCAATATCCTCTACCTGCACCCCCCCCCAAAAAAAAAAAAGAGGGAACCATGAAAGTCAGACTTTCCAGTGCCCCTCAGTTGAAAGGAAAGACACTTTGTACTGAACTCAGCTTGCCAGGCTCAGAAGACCATCACCTGCTCTCCCTTATTTAAACTACCTGGGGTTTCTGTCCACCTCCAGCACAGCCTGCAATCTTGTGAGCATTCCCTTAGCACATGAAGCCAGTGCAGTGGACCAGAAGGAACATTTGACCAGCCTGTCTGACGTACTTCCAAGGGAAAGCTGGTTCCACTTTTGGCAAAGGCTTGACAATCCTAGGTTGCCAGGAGAAAAGAAGCTGTAAAGTTCGATTGTGCCTTTAGATTTTATTTCTCAGTTTCTGGCATTGTTTCATCAAAATTATTATGTTTTATTTCCTCTGAATGCATTACCTTGCCAGAGAAAAGGGACAATGCTGCACCCTAGTGTCACGGTTAAAGTACTTGAGAAATTTTTTCTATCAACGCCATTTATAGATTTTGTATCCTGTCAGTCTTTCCAGTATAAATGTCAAGTTTTTAAGGCTTATATTCAGTGGTTCAAATGGTGGAATGTGATGCAATTACTTCTTAATGAACCAATCAGGATTTCACAATGTTCATATATAGACCATAAAAGTTCATACTGGACATGAGACTGAATTTTTTTTAAAAGGAAAAGCTATATTTGCATAATCTTTTTTATCTTATTTTTATTCTAATTTGTTATATATGACAGAATGCATTACAGTTCATATTACACATATAGAGCACAATTTTTCCTATCTCTGATTGTATACAAAATATATCCATACCATTTATGTCTTCATACATGTTATATTTGCATAATCTTAAAGAGAAATGTTTGTGTTTAAGGAAATTTCAAAAAACAAGCACTAAAAAAARAAGAAGGCAAAAAAAACAAACACTTTAAAATGAAACCATGTTTTTAGCTTGTGACATGACATTTTGTCGAATTTTTAAGAACAGTATCATCATTAAATGTAATTAACTATATTTGTCTTCATATATGTGTGTGTATACACATATATTCAAAGCTGCAAACCCAAAAGAATTTTAATTATTTCTAAAAATTTCTGTAATCAATTTTTAGCAAAAATACTGCTATAAAAGAAAAACTAAATAGGAATGAAAGAAAATTTCAAAGGATTTTTAATACACATTCTTGTTTGCCACCCCTGCCCTATCCCATCTATCCAAACATATACACATTCATCTCCTTTCATAATTAATAGTGACATTTTTGTTTTCTTCTTTTTTGGTGAGGGGTGGGATGCTGGAAATTGAATCCAAAACCTGGATTCTGAGCTTATGCTCCACTACTGAGCTACACCCCCAGCCCATTCTCTTTTTCTTACTCTCACTGTCGACCTTGCTATTAAACTTTTGGATATTGCTCAGGTTGGTTCCAGTAAATATATCCATGTGCCTGTCTTTGCCTCAATAATGTGACTCTTTCAGATGCCCAACAGAAGCAGAATTAGTGTCTTGCCCCAGACACCCAGTGACAGGTGCAATGATCCAGGGGTATATATGCTCCTCCCTAGGTGAGGTCTGTCACCTGGGCTTTGTTTAGGTCAGGGTAAGAAAAACAAAGCCTTGCATATCTTGTGACATTTACCACCTTATCTTCCTGAAACCTGGAAATCCTTTCATGAGGTCACCCCTTCCTAGGCTAAGTCTTAGAAAGTACAGACCAAGGAGAAGACTCTTAAGATGAACCATGAAATGGTGGCATCATTTCTAACTGGAATAAATCAGTTTAACTCAGAATTTGACTGGATGCCATGTCCACAAAACTGTGACTTTTTTTTAGTTTGGAGTTAGCCATTTTTGTGAGATATAAGTTCTTGCATTCTCTGATTTCTCTTATTCAAACCCACCTAACCACCTTTACATCAACTGTAAATAATATCTATATAATGTATAAATTATGTAGGGCCACTGGCTCATGAATATCTCTGAAGAATTTTAAGTTTACACATAACTGGGMGTCAAGCAGTTCCTATTTGCAGTGTAGTAATGATATATTTCCTTTATTGATGCACTTTACATTAATAACATTTTTAACTATGATAATAATGAATAATTATATTGACTGTGTGTTCTATGTGTGGGGCACTGTATTATATACTTTTTATAAATTATCACTGACCTTCATTGCAGCCATAAATTACCATCACTGTATACATAAAAATACCAAGAGTTACAGATGTCAAAACAACTTGGTTTTAGTACCAGTAAGTGAGAGGTGTGGAATTTGAACCCAGATCTACCTCTTTCCAAAGCCTATGCTCTCTTTATCACTTATTATTCTCTCTACGACTCTGATCCCAGAATGGTTTTCAGAGGAAATGTGAGTGATATTCTTATGGTTTATTGTTTTCTTGCTCTGGAATACTGTAGAGTTCTTTATAAAATAGTGTTTGCATAAAATAGAACATACCTTTTAGCCTTTTTTCTTTGTCTGATTCCAATGCATGTAATCTCTGTTTGGGGAATTACTCTTTAACCAAATGGATGTATTAATGAAACCATAACAGAAAGCATGTCCTCACTGAGGTGTTCCATCAGAACACAAAGAACACTCGTGGGCATAAAGGAAGACTTTTTGTACCCATGTGGTCTCCTTTGAATCCAGCAGGTCCTGCTTTGTCAGTATGTTAGGGTTTGCCCTTAATATATGCCCCATTTCTACATCATCTCATATTTTTAATCTGCTGCCAGAGTAATCCTTTATCTCCTTCCAATGAATTTTACAATTTTCCTATAAGCTTACCTATCCTCTCCTGTTAGATGATCACCATATTGCAGTAGGGCAGAGACAAATAGTCATAAAGTGAATTTCTCCTGGGGAATCTCTGTCCCCAGTGCCTATCTCAAGAGCTTTTGCTCTCTTTAGAATTTGGTGAGGAAACAACTTGGCATAGCAGCTAATGCTCACATTCACGTGTTCTTTCCTAGTGTAATTGGACTCCCAGGAGAAGAGGACTGGCCTAGAGACGTTGCCCTTCCCAGGCAGGCTTTTCATTCCAAATCTGCCCAACCCATTGAGAAGTTTGTATCAGATATCGACGAACTTGGCAAAGACCTGCTTCTGGTAAGTTCATGCAGTTCTGTGCCCTGGGATGGTATTATTCATACTGAGCTCTGGGCACAAGAATCAGTTCAGCAAGGGCTACAGCCATCACAGCTGGCTGCAGTTTTTTCATGGGTTTTGTGGATTTTGATTCTGGAATGTCCTTCTGATCCACACTCTGAATAAAATCTGCCATCTTTGAAGCCTTAGAAGCTTCTGGATTTGCTTGGGCATATACTTGTTTAGAAGTAAATATTATCTTTCCTTGTTTAAAGTTCGTGCTGCCTTAAGTAACTTGTTTGTCATTTTTAAGGTCCCTTTTCATAAATAGTAACATCTTGGGGGAATGTTTTTCCAAAGGAACCAAGTAGCAAAACTCCTTCTGGGACCAATTTCTTAAGTATTTAACATGCCATGCACATGTAAAATCCTTCAGACTCAAACTCATAATACTTGGTGCTGTACCTAAGTTTCTGAACTCAAAGGCCAGAAAATAGGTACAGAAGAGTATACCTATTGGGAGCTTCTCTTGGTGACAGAACCCAGTCAGTAATGGGTATATCCTTTACCTCCTGAATTAAGAGCCTCTGACATCTGCTTCAGGCTGTGGTCAAGTACAGGTCTTCTCCACAAGAAGCAGCAGCTCCCTGGGGCTTGCTTTCCTCATGGCAGTAGGTAGATGCTCCCAGAAGGCAAGCAAGAACATATAGTGCCCCCAAAGGCCTAGGCTTAGAAGAATCATCCTGCCACAGTCGTCTTTCCACATTCTGTTGTCCAAATCAAGTTACATAACCAAGGCCAACTTGAAATGGAGGAAGGATTACCCCTCCTTTGGAGGGAGAAGAGAGAAGAAAGGGAGTATATGCGAAAAATTATCCAGTCTATCACAGTATTCAAGTCTTGGCTAAGTTAGGATTCTAAAAGCTCATTTTGTAAGTAGTTATTTGGCAATGAAATTAAATTTTTGTGCAGAAGCAATATTATTACACAAGATCTTTGAGTTAATTCTCATGCCAGCCTTGTTCCTGAAATAGAGGAGTAATAGAACCTAACTCCTTTTTCTAACTATAATTCTGTAGGACAGAATATATTAAGAGTTCCCCTTGGAATTCTCACACACACCCTTGTTTGAGTAAGGAGCTCTCCTTCCCTCCATTCTCTTCCCAGCTCTTACACTATCAGTGCAGCTGCAGGAAAGGGCTTCCTCCCAGATAATCCTCTAGGGACATCTCTTCCTATCTCACACATATTCCCACAAAGCTTTTCTCTTCTCTCCTATGTCCTCCTAGGGGACTGCTTTCTCCCACCCCTGCCCCTAATGCAATTGCTCTATCTTTTCCTCCTTGGACTGCAGAAAGAGAGACTCAGACTCAAGAACTTTGCCCCTGCTTTTCTGTCCTTTGGAAGAGCAGTCTTTGCAAAGCTTTTCTAAAGTTGTCTATTAGAGACAGTGAATCCATTCTACACACAAGCTCCTTTCTGGATTGTACTCTTTTTTTTTTTTTTTTTTTTTGGTGGTGCTGAATATTGAACCCAGGGCCTTGTGCATGTGGATATACCAACCAAGCTATATCCCCAGCTACAAGCTCCTTTCTCTGCCTGCCATTTAGCTCTTGATTTTTCAGAAGACCCAAAACTGAAACTGGAATCTGCAGACTGATAGGGAGCTTAGGATAAATAAGATTTCAGGGGACTAGAGAATTTGCCTGAAATTATATATAGAATTTTCTATTTGTATGTACCTTTCTTTTTTTATTATTTTTAGTTGTAGATGGACACAATATCTTTATTTTATTATTCATTTATTTTTTATGTGGTGCTAAGGATTGAACCTAGTGCTTCATACATGCTAGGCAAATGGTCTACCACTGAGCTACACCCCCAGCCTGTATGTGCCTTTCTTTAAGACCAGTAGCTTTCAACTATTAATGGGGTCCATAATCTAGTCAGAACATAAGGAGGACTGTGAGCAGGAACCCTAAATGAGTGGGAAAGTCTGCATAACCATAAAAATATTAAGTCTTTGTATTACATAGAGGTCTTGAAATTTATAGGCATTACAGAGGCCCACTTCTCTTCAGTGGGCATTGCCTCAAATGGTATGCTTCTTTGTGGCCTGTGGCTCCTGGGACAATGGGCAGGTCCTACTCATGGTAATTAGTACTTGTCACCAGGTAGGTGCTCAGCTTGGTTAAAGGAGAAAGGAGTGGAGGAACAAAATTACGTGTGGTTGAAGTGGAAATGAGACTGACATTAGGGACTTGGTTGACAGTTTGGGAGCAGAGGTTCACCTGTCCCTCCTTTTACCTTCTACCTCAGTTGCCTAGCCAAACTGACCAGACCATTTGACTCAGACCAGGTACTCCTTAAGTGCAGGGACCAGCTCATTTGCTATAGTACTCCTGTGCTTGAATCGTCCACCTGGAATAGACTTTAGTGACTTGAATTGAATCTTATGGGTTCCTTGAAGGGATGCTGCTAGCCCACGGGGCATCTTGCTGAGAGTTAGAAAGAGGGCATCCTTCCCCTGGGTGATGCAGTCCTAGGGCAAGTAATAGAGACCTAGATTTGAACCCCTCCACTAGGGGGGGCTTGTTCAGTAATTACCTTTTACACCTCCACCACCTTGTTCAGTAATTACCCTTTACACCTAAGTAGGACACCTCATCTGTTATCTGCACATTGACAAACCCTGGGCCAAGGTAAGATGATAGGGTAAAGTCCCTGACTATAGAACTAAGTTTTCTAGAAGAATCTCAGCATAAGTAAGGCTATATACATACTACAAATATAATATTAACTTTGGGGGTGTTGGGGATCAAACAAGCTAACAAGCACTCTTCCACTGAGCTACACCTCCATTTTTTAAGGAATGTGGAGTAATCTGGAGAGAAACCATAGATAAGCAACATACCACAGATACCCAAAGGATGTTGTCTTTTCCTTCAGGGCAATTTATGCATTAGGAGCACATACAAGTAAAGTACTGTCTACATATTATGTAGTGTTCCTTGAAATAAATATTCATTCTTATTATAGATATACTTAATACGTGACAGTGAATAGAGGAATAACTATGTAAAGCATATTATTTACACTGATGTTTTATATCCGTCCATTTCTTTTTCTTTATTACAGAAGTGCCTGACATTTAATCCAGCCAAAAGAATATCTGCCTACAGCGCCCTGTCTCACCCATACTTCCAAGACCTGGAGAGGTGCAAGGAGAACCTGGATTCCCACCTGCCGCCCAGCCAGAACCCCTCAGAGCTGAACACAGCCTAAGGTCCCCGTGGCTATCTTGAGCTGATCATCTGGAGAATACCCKTAGTGGCTGTTGGGTCCCCCTGAGCAGAGCTATTGAAGGTCACTGTCTGGAGGCCTTCCAGCTGCCATCTTTTGGATGGGTTCTGCTTCTTCAAGGAAACCGCCTAGTTTACTGTTTTGGAATCAATGCAAGAGTGATTGCAGCTTTATGTTCATTCATTTGTCTGTCTGTTTATTTCAAGAACCTGGAAAAATTCCAGAAGAAGAGAAGCTGCTGACCAATTGTGCTGCCATTTCATATTTCTAACCTTGAATGCTGCCAGTGTGAAGTGGGTGATCCAGGCACAGCTGAGTTATGATGTAACCTCTCTGCAGCTGCTGGGCCTGATTTGGTACTTTTGAGTGTGTGTGTACATGTGTGTAAGAGAGATTCTGTGATCTCTTAAAGTGTTACTTTTTGTAAACGACAAGAATAATTGAATTTTAAAGACTCAAGGTGACCGATAAAATTCCAGACGCTGTTCACTGAAGGTGATTCACCAGAATGATCTTCTCAAATTAGAAAGTTGAGCCTATGTCCTCAGCATTTCTGTTCTGGCCAAAAGGAGTAAATTTGTTAGCAGTTAAAGGTGAAGTTTTAGACACACAGCAAAAAGGAAGAAAAAAATTCTAATATCCTTTAAGAGACCTGTTTTTTAAAGCATGCATTCTATTTACTCTTTTGAAACTGAATTTACTTGTTGTAAGTCTATTTTAACCTTCTATATAGTATCATGCTTTACTGTTTCTTTTGAAAATATAAGCTTTTTATTACTTGCTATAGATTTAGGGATTGAACCTCGAATAGGTTAAAAAAAACTAGAGAAAACCTTTATTTTCTGGTTTGAAATGTCTTGACTTCTTTTTTGGTTTTCGTTTTTACTTAGTTTTTGTTTTTAGGAATTTGTCAAAACTGTTTCCTGTTTGGATTTGGAGAGTAGTTCTCTCTGACAAGGGACAGAGATACCATTTAAATTTTCTGTATCTATTACACTGTACTTTTCACTATGCCCTGCCTTATTTGCAAAGTGTCCATCTTATCTATCTCCCAGCACCTCTCATATATATTGCTCCCATTTCATAACTCATAACAGTTGCCAAAGCTGTTCCATGCACCACCTGCTTGCTTGCTTTCAATGAACCTTTCATAAATAGGCAGCTTCAGATTATGGTTTATGGCCTTGATTCTGCAATCCTAACAGGGCCCCATATGTTCTTGATGCAGTTTTCCTACCTGGCATCTGCTTGAGTTACCTAAGCAATGAATAGGATACTTGTTCCACTCTGTCACCAGCACACAGATTGCTATAAACTGTTACTTAGTGTTTTACATTTTTGTAGAATTTATGCTTAGTGTAATTTCTGAGGGAATGTCTTTAACTCTTTTTTAGAGCTAGCTGTTAATATTCTAAATAATCTTTGTCTCCCTCCTCCAGGCCATTCTTGTTTCCAGTGCCTTGTGCTCACTCCTGCTCTCTGACCTGGGCATTATAAACAGCTCTTCTTTTTCTCGAGATGCTTTCTCTCTCTCATCCTTTGTATCCCATACCACCTCTGCCTTCTCTATAGTTTGGTGCTGAGAGAACTTGAGTAACCAGAAGACACAGAAAGCGTCCTTGGAGAAGTTCTGCTTCCTGTGCTTTCTGACTGTTTGAGGACATGCAACAAACAGCTAGATTATGTTGAGAGTTAGGCTTTTCAAGGACTGGCCATTGCTTTGCTCAGTAGAAAGTGTTTCAAATGATGCTTATGCATTATCAAGCTCATTGAATTCTTCCCAGCTTCATATTGTTATCTCATAGCAAAGGGTAATGATAACCTAAGCTTAAGAACGTAATTCCTGAACAAGAAGAACATTTAGGAGATGTTTCTTCTCAAAAGCTTTTTGGGGATAGAACTGTTCTTTTTTAAAACATACATTGTTTAACATTGTTCTAGTTCAGTAGCTTTAGGAACAGGAATGTTTTCTAACACAAGGTAAAAAAGATGGGCTAAGCATGGTTTATACTTCCTTCCTGTGACAGCATTAATGATGTGTTGTCACCACTGTAAATGCTTGAGATATAATGAATCTAGGAGCATTCTGAGCAAGGTATATTCTAAGTCTTACCTGGAAATTAGTCTGCCTTTGATTGAGGTTCAAAAGACAAAAGACATTTTTTTTTCCCTGGGGCCTAGAAATTTAATTTTAAAATTCACTGCACTGATTCACCATGACCTTTTCTTGGTTGGTATCCATGTGTTAAAGTGAACATAACTTGACTCTTTGCTTTTGCAAAAGTTTTTTCAGTGGTTCCCTCAAGAAAAATGCAGCTGTTCTGAACTGGAATTTTTCAGCTTTTTTAGAATTTTAAATGTTGGTGAGCTCAGTTTTTATTTCTAGCATCTGCTTTGGGCTTATTTATAAGTAATGTTTGTAAAGAAAAATTCAAACACATTTTGGCACTAGATGCTTTGCCCATCACCCTCTGGTGGCACAGAATGAAAGGGCATCTCAGCTTCACAAACTCAGTTAAGTCTCATAGTTCTTCCATTGCCATAGTGGTTGCACTTAGGCAATGATTCTCTTGTTGTATGTCTTTACACCCAGGCTCACCACTTCTAAAACCCAGGTACCCCATGAGCAGCTTGGCCATTAGGGCCCTTTTTGAAGCATACAGTAGAATAAGAACCTAGTGAATATGGCTTATTCTTCTGTAACATGGCTTCAGACTTCTTTCCCAAAAGCTAGGCAGTGGTTAACTGAAAAGATCATACTGCCCCAAGAAAGAAGCTTACGGCAAGAAAAAGTCTCAGATTTGAAATCACGTTTTGAATATATACTAGAACTAGTGTACATATGTATGTGCCTGATAGCTTCTGTTTGGGGCTTGGTTCTGGTGGCCCAGGCCTTGTGAGCTGTTGTTATATGGAGTTATAACAACCTCAGTATAAAAAAAAAAGAAAAAGAAACATATCTGTTTATCATAAGCTATCTCATGGCAAAGGGTAACCTAAGCTCAATAACATAATTCCTGAGAGCTTGTAATAACTCATTGGGTTGGAGCCTCCCACTTTGTCCCTCTGAAGAGGCTGGAAACTCAAAGAGAAAGAGCCTCTCTGGAAGAAAGCTTGGGGCCATTTCAGCCCCCTTTGTTCTCAGATTTTTCCCTCAGGAAGCACACACTGTGAATGGCAGGTTTTTCATTTAGCCCCAGGTGATTTACTAAAAATAGTTTAAAATTATTCAACAAAGAGTAGAATCTCGGCATGTTAGTTTCCAGTACAAATGAAAATTTCAGAATGCACAGATGTTAAGATCTTAAAGAAAATGTGTTCCTTTTAATAGAAAAATATATAGTTTGATTCTAGAACATGGTACTATCCATTTTGTTGAAAAAAAAAACAATAGTACCAAACATTTTGAACTTTAAATTATGTATTTAAATTGATTTTTAATAACAATAGCTGCCTCTCTTTAAAGTGGTACCTAATTAAAGTCAGTAATGCAATTCTCATTCCATTGTGGAAATTAAATCATGTGAACTTCATGATATCATAAGCATATTAAAATTCTTAGTTCAAAGAATTGCTTTTCTTTTAAGTGACAGCTTGTCTATTTTTATGATAAGCACATGAGAGTGTCTTACATTTTATTTTCCAAATACAAACTTTTTGGCTGTAGGAACATATTGATAGAATTCAAAAGAATGCACGTTTTATGTTGTGACATAAGAATAAAGATGTGGCATGACTTCTTTTTTGTGGCATGACTTCTAAATCTTTAAAAATTATTTATGAAACATTGGACAGTGAATAGAGGAAATTCTGAAGAAACTGAACATATTCAAAGGGTAGTTTCAAAGTTACATATATTTTGAAGCATATATTTTCTTATCCTCAAGTATATTGTAAGAATTGATATTAAAATCACCTGGAAAACTATGGACTTGACATGTTCAAAAACAAATCTTATGGAAAAGCTATCCCAGGCATAAATTAACATATGCCTTAGAGTATTCACTATTTTTAAAAAAAAAAACATTTTTTAAGGCATGTGTTTCCTATGCCAGTGGGACTTTTGAAAAATTGTAAATCTTACAAACTCCTTTATCATGTACATTAATACATTAAGTACATTTGCCTTCTCCAAAAAACTTCCTGAGACTACCAAAGCCTGAAAGCAATGTAAATCCTGGGGAAAATAGTAATGGTATTTCCTCAAAAGCATGAGAAAATAGCATTTTCATTCCTTACTGACTTCATTATTATCAATACAATTTTAGTCCAATTTTGATACATACTTATATCTCAAGCATTTCTAACTTGTTTTTTTTTTAGAAAATAAGCCAAATCTATTCCTTTGGCCTTCTCTGTCTTCTGACCTTTGTAAATAACAGAACTGTAGAAGTAGGAGGAAAATGATACTCTTAATGTTTTTTTTCTCAATTAGTTTTTGTTTTGTTTTGTTTTTGTTTTTTAAGTGGAGTACCAGCTTTTCAAAGTATTTTGCATTTACTGGTTTGCTGGTATTCTTGGGGAGTTAGTTTAGATTAATAAATGGACTTCCATTAGAGTCTTGGTTTCCTTGATCCTGGTGCTCTGGCCTTTAAGAAGAAAGAGCTACTTGAAAGTACACGCTTTCCCGCCCCCCCCCCAAGCATCTATTGAAATACTATTACAGAAATTTAAAGTTAATGTTGTAGGAATTGAAGGTAGTTTTTTGTTTATTTTTGTTTAATGTTAATGGTAGGTATGAAAAGTAGTTTAAAAAAAAAAAAACTTTTAAAAAAGGTCTGTTAATTCACAGTCCTAAGAGCTGGACTCTTCTGTTTTATTACAGTGTGTTCCACAAGGTGGCGCTTTCAAAAAAATAAAAATCTGGCCAAGGCTGAAGAGGTAGTTCTAAGGACTTTATTCTTTTTTTCTGCACATCTTTAACTTCTGCCTAGCACTTGTTCCTCAATATAATTAATAGTGTTCATAATGTTCTGTAACTTAAGATATTTTAGTTGTTTATCTAGGTTCTGAACGATTGTCTGAAAATTAATTGTGCTAGATGACTTTATGCCTATTTTGATCTTAAGTTGAGTCAAGAAAGCCTAGTCACTTTTATTCAGGACACTTTTTTTTTTTTTGAGGTACCTAGTTACCTCACTTTTCTACTTTGGGCAGACTCACTTATTAAAAAGGCAACTCTCATTTTGTGAACAGAATAGTTTTGTTAGGAGTATAAAATTTAATCAAGAGCCCCAGTTAAAACACCCACACCCCAGTCTACTGGTTTCACATCCTCTACCATGGTGACCTTTTGACACTGATTCCACTTTAAAATTCTAATCTAAAAATCAGATGAGCAAAATAAGTAGTGCATCAATAATTAAATAGACAAAATCTTTTCTAAAGAATTGCTATACTGAAACAGCACTAAAATGCTGAAAGACCTGGTAAATTTTACACTTGTATAATGACTAATGCAAATTCCTAAGAAATTCTAACTCTTAGGTATTGTCTAGGTATATGAGCATAATTTAGCAACTCTCCACATCTCTGGTTTCTCCACTTTTAAAGGTTTTTAGCATTCATGATATGTTTGTTTTAATTTACGTTTCTGCTCAGAGACCCACTTTCCTCTCGCCCCTCCCCTGGAAATGATTAACAAAATTTAGGAGGAAGGAAATGACAGTATTCTTCATTTTCTGTAGCACAGTACAATAGGCCGTGT